GCTTTTCCAGGATACTTTGGTATCCCAGAAAAGCTCTGTAGTCTAGATGTACCCTAAGTTTATGTGAGGGAGATGGGTAAAGTATGCTTAAGCAGACTTATAACCAACACTCTGACTTATAGAGTGAAAGGATTGTCCAGCGATTAGGGCCTTAGTCTAGGACTTGAGAGGACTGAGTTCAATTCCTCATTCTATCATGGATGTCCTTTGTTACCCTGGACAAAATTATTTAGTCTCTGTGCCCCAGTTCTCCATCTATAAAATGGGTATAATAGTTCTCTGCTGGAAAATTCTGAGGATAAACACATTAAAGAAGGTGGGGTGCTTAGATTACTATGGTAATGGGGTTTATAGAAGCACATAAAATAGATTTTACAAAAGAGCAGTAGCAAAATGAATTCAGGGCTGGTGAGATAAAGATCAAAGAGATCACTATCCATTGGAGTTTTTGTTAACTGTCCATGACTTTTACTAAAAATAACCATGACTAAAATGTAGTTTTAGTCATAAAACTGTATTTGACAAACAGTGGGTGGAAATATAAAGAAGAGCCTTCAATATTGAGGCAAACATGATACTAATAAAATTATTATAATTTATTTTAAAATGTTAAAGTCATTACAAACATGGTCTGTATATTTATTGAATCTTGGGAGATACATATAATTATTTTTCTACATATGGTGCTTGGAGAAAAGTCCCTCCTCTGCATATATTTTTATTCAATGATATGAAATATCCATGCTAAGGAAATTCCTAGGAATTCTGTTGTCTGTGAATAAAACTCCACAGACTCAAGGAAAATAAGACTTCATTAATACAAACCCTAAATTGCAGCTTTTTAATTCCTATTTTACTTTAACTCTATTTTATTTGCTTTGATGCTTTGCTTTTCAATATTATAACCAAAGTTTACTGTGATTTGTGTTTTTTAAGAAATATTTAATTGCAAGTTGTGAATGCTGTAGGAAGTGCTGGGTCAAAACACAAAGCAACCAACCAGAGCCTCTTCTCGCAGAATAGGACTGTGCAGGGCTCCATGTGAGGCTGTTTGGGAAGGCACAGCCTTCCCCAGCCTATAAAAAGCACGCCCATGCAGGATTATAGTAAAATAAGAAGTCTGTGGCAGATGTACAGCCTGTGACCATGTATCCACATTGCATGGAATTTTCCATTTCAGGGTATCTCGGGTACGTCTACACTTGTTCCCTAGTTAGAGCTAGGGATGCAACCGACATTGCTAATGAAGTGGGGATTTAAATATCCTGCGCTTCATTAGCATAATCTCGTTCGTGCGTTACTCCGCTCAACAGCTGATTCGAACCAGAAAATACGCTCCTGGATGTGTTCGTTCAAATCAAACCCCTTGGTTTGAACTAACGTTACTCTTCTGAGGAGGAGTAGCATAGCGGTAAAGGGGGAAAGCACCAATATGGTATTTGATGAAACGATTTTTTTTTTAATAGCAAACTATCTAGTTGAAATAATTCAAGTAGCAAGGTCAACATCGTGGTTTTAATCATAAAATTTATCTTTTCCCCATCTTAAAAAATCCCTTTAACAGCCCGCTCATATATTTAGAAGATGTGAAGTTTCTGTGGGTAAGCCCTTGAATCATGAAGTGCTCAAGTTAAGATTGCCTATGTAACCTTAGTTGTGTGTCACCCTGGATGGCTGCAACTAGAACTAGAAAAAAAATCACCCACACTTTGTGTGTGTGTGTAAAACTGGATTTTGATTAAGCAAAGATTTTCACAGAAGTGGCCTTTTCCCATTTAGAAAACCAAAGATCACCACCACCACCAGCCACTCCAGAAACATGGAAGCCAAAACTTTTCAGCTGAAACATATTTTGATTTAGGGTGAAAATCTACAGTGGCTGGTAGCTGAAAATGGAAACATTTTTAGTCTTTTTTTTTAACTGTTTGACAGAGTCCAAATTTCCCACAAGGAAAAAAAAATCCAGCCAATTCTAACTGCAACACAGTCTTTAGTGCTAGATTTCACAGTAACATATGATTTCTCTATGAACTGATAATGTGCCTTTTGTTGTCATGAGACTGAGTCAGAGTTCTGCCAAGACTCTTGTGTCATTCAATGTGTATATTGTATTAAAAATGCTTGTTAATAATAGCATTGTGATGTGACAGTTTATTTCAGCAACACCCTCGAAAAGCCTCAAAGGTTTGACCTTTGCTAGAAAGGCTTAATTACACAGAGCTTGCTCCATCACTTGAAAGATAGGGAATGCTTATTAGTGTGACCTATTGTGCCACAGATCTATGCCAAAGGATTAGCAATAAGACAGCATTAAGGATGTAAGATCAAGTACACACAACGTAACACCATGATTGCTAGGATGACCCTAAGGCTGGGGTTAGCAGAAGACGACATTTTTTTGGTCTTTGACCAAAACATTTTGAGAGCCACATCACATGCAAAACTGCCTGTACATATACACAGAGATAGCAAGTATATAGCAGATGACAAATTCTGACAAACAAAATAGCTGATGGGATAAGCTGGCCTCTGGGAAAGTCTGATGCAGGACAGCGTTCTGACCTGGGCTTGGGAGTTAGGGTGCAGGAGGGGACACAAGATGGCTCCAGGTGGGAGGTGCTTACCCCCGGCAGCTCCCAGCTGGTGGCACATCAGAGCTCAGGCAAGCTGACTGCCTTCTATGGCCCCACGCCACTCCCAGAAGTGGGTGGTTGCTGGCACATCTCTGTGTGCCCTTTGGGAGGAGGGTGTCAGTGGGTTGCTGTGAGTATGTGCTGCCCATGGCCATGAGCATCACTCCCACGGCTCCCATTGGCCAGTTCAATGGGAGCTGTGAGAACAGTGCTGGAGGCGGGGGCAGTGCATGGAGCCTCCGCCTCCCAGCTAGGGGGTACGCAGAGATGTGCCCGCAGCCAACCGCTTCCAGGAGAAGCATAGGGCCATGAGCCCTGCTGTGTCGCTGGATTTTTAGTGGCCCGGAGATTATGATTGACTGGCAAAGGCTTCAGGCTTGACAGAGGTTGGTGACCACTGGCATAGGGCCATGAGCCCTGCTGTGTCACTGGACTTTTAGTGGCCCGGAGATTGTGATTGACTGGCAAAGGCATCAGGCTTGACAGAGGTTGGTGACCACTATGCAGAGTGTAAAGCGAGTGAAGTAAATTCAGGGTTTGTTTAATGGCTGCCCACAAGGGGGCAGCCAACGATCCACGTGTGGTTCTGGAGCTGCAGGTTTCAACCCCACCCTTAAGAGACCATATGCAGCTCCCTTTCCAGCCATTGGTTTCACCTGGCACAGGGTGGAAGTTCTCCTGGCTTACCTGCCGAATCTGTATGCCGAGTTGTTGTAGCCACGTTGGTCCCAGGATATTAGAGAGACAAGGTCTATGAGGTAATATATTTGATTGGGCTGATGGGGTTGTGTCACCCACTTCCTCGAACCCAAGACCTAAAGATTAGCCCTGTAGATTTTGGAAGCTTGTGTCTCCCACCTACCAATGTTGGTTCAATATAAGATATTACCTCACTCACCTTGGCTGCGTCTACATTGTCCCCTT